TTTACTGCTGTTTGTTCTTTGTGAACAGGGTTGTGAGAGTACCTTTTATGTTTTATTCAAGCCTCCAGTAATTATCAAAGGACTTCATTGTAGAATATTTAGGAATTCAATGAAGTACAGAACTCACACGGTTACTCGGTTTCTTTGAAAAATATTTTCTCTGTGAAAGCTACTTCACATCCTGTGGCTTAGGGTATTACAGTTCTTATTTTGCGAGGGGAAAACTGAGTCTATGTGCAAGCTTCAAATAACTGGTTTTCTTTGAGTGACAATATAGGTTTTCATTACAAAGCCCAGATTTTTCAGAATATTGAGGCACAGCTGGTATTCTTTGAATGAAGTTATTGTTTCAAATTCTTGGAACCTTCAGAAAGTTTTGAGATTGTTCATATGTATTTTCATGCTAAACTGGATTATTCAGAGGAATGCTACTAAAGAGAAAGCAAGCATGTCATCTCTCCAAGTGTGGAGTGACCTACACAAGCAGACACAACCCTATTACAATCTACCAGGTCTTATGCATAAACATACCCAAACACAATGTATTATGTCTTCCCTAGCATATCTAATGAAAAGCATACTACTTTTGCTGAGAAGCAACAGAAGAGTATCCCTGCACTTCTTCAGAGACAGACCAGTGCAGAAGAATTTAGAGATCAATATTCTTTTCTTAGCAACAAAGACATTCCAAAGCTGCTCTTTGTGCACAGATAATATGCTTAACAGCTTCATTTAATACCTGTCCCTCCACAAGGCTCAGTTTTGACATGATATAAGATATAATCCTTCTAATAAATTTCAAATACATTTCTGCTTTATGTATATATATTTAAAAAAAGCTTTGAGTTTTGATTAACACCGAATAACAAAAGAACACCTCAAGATTACATAAATATCTGCCCAGACAGGTAGACAGCTGTGTTGCATCACAGGATGAATTTCTGAGTAGCCCTCATGGTCACAGCCAGAAAATCCATTTCAAGAATCAGTCAGAAAACCCCATGTATTGATAATTACATCTATGATGGAAATAAAAAGCTAAAGCTAAATATGAAGACCTTAAAGATTTAAATCAGGACTAATATCAATTAAAATTTGAGCACTTGTACAGGTGTTGAGTGTTAAACTTGCTAGCAGCAAAATTTCTACATTGCTTGCCTCTCTCTTGTATACTTTGGCCTCCCACAAGCTTCCATTTTCTTCTGTTCACACCGACCCAATTTGTAGAATAGTTCTTTGTCTCTTTGATGTTATTTTCCTATTTTTTAACTATTTTTGCCATGTGCCATTCTAAATAATTACTCCTGGGCTGATATTTGTCTCTGAGTTTACCTTGAGGTGCTGATGGAAAATTCAGTAAGATATTTTTCCATAAGAAAGTTAATTTCATTACCAGTGACAGAACTACTGAAGTAAAATAGATAATACATAAGTCATCAAAATAGAGTAATACTGATTTTGCAGTGGTGGTTGTTAGACAAGCAATTCTGTCTCTCTCTCAAATTAACTTAAGTATCATGCTGTATTCCCAGATAGATATTTGGAAGACAACTTCATCTCTAAAAACTTTGTCTGCTGCAAAATTCCTAATAGGGTTTGAACTTCACTCTCCAAAGCTTTTCCCTGTCTATTATTTTTACCATGAGACATGCAGGTATTGGCAAGACATCTGAAAGGTGCTCAACAGCCCTGGGCTTGGAAGGAAGAGCCCACTGAAATTCATGTGCTTGCAATGGCCAGTGTAATGCTTTGCACTCTATGCTTCATTCTTCATCCTAAACCATATTACAGTGAAGATACAGAATGATTGAAAATAGTGACTCCACAGGGGGGCATGTACCAAATAACAGCCATCTGAAGTGACCATTATTTGCTTGCTGCTGTAACTCGAGGTTACAGTATTTCCTTTTTTTTGGAGTAATTCAAGAAGTATTAAAAATCCAGAGTAACGGTAATAAAATTTCCATTTTTTTTTTTCCCCAAAGAAACCCTCAATAAGCAATTATCTAAATGAATGAAGCTTGCTATATATGATAAGAAAAAAAACAAACCCACTATCAAGCATGTCACCTGAACATAGAAGGAGCCTCTCAGATAAAGCTGAGAAAAAACTTGGGGGAATCAGAATTCAGGCAAAAGATAGAATTTTAAACTTTTTTCATTTATTCTAAGAAATTGTCATCTTAAGGGAGCTTTTCTTTCCTGATTTTATTAATTTATCACTGAGCCAATACACTTTCTGCTAGTACAAGAGCAAAGAAAGATTTTTTCCTATGTAATAGGGGATTTTAAAAAATACTTTACTTTTTCCTAACAATTTTGCTCAACTACTTAAAGAAATCATACACACACACCAAAAAAATTAGCTTCAGACAATTCAGAAGTTGCTGAAAACTTTTCACTTGCAAATTAAATAGTTAATTATGTTAATATAAGAAAAGAAGTGACAATAAAATAATCACATTTCTGGCCTCTACACTGTCCTTTTTTTCAACCATCTGATGACTAAAAAGTAATAGGCATTACACATTTTCTGTTCTGCTCTGGAAATTCATTCTCTGAGAGCAAGTCAGTTTTATGGTAGCTATGAAAAATAGGCAAAATTGTTTACAAAATTAGTTTAGTTTTCAGTCAAAATTAAAATTATTCATACCTAAAGCAATGGACAGCACACAGAAAAACAGGAAGATTTCTGTCAAGGCTTGGGGTGAGAAGTCGTGTTACATGTTGATGTTTAGCCAAGTAGTAAGCAGCATCTGATTGCCAACTTTTTTGTTTTAATAGTTTGATGCAGACAGAGATGAAGAAGAGGTGTTCCTTGACATAAGTTCAGCGGTTGACAATAAACTATTTGCAAACAAAGAGGCTGCAGCAGGTGAGTTAATGTAAGATTTAAAGAACCACACTTTTTATATTGCATTTGATATCGGTGGGATTCCTGAAGTATGGATATATGTACTGTAGCAAAGCTTTGACTGACCTCAAACATTTGCACAACCAAGGGCAAAAATGAATCTTCTTACACTTGGAAACTTCACACAACCCACCTAAGATCTCTTTTACCTACAAGCTCACCTTAAAATACTATGGATAGACCACTAAAGAATTATATCATTAAGTTTGTATAAATTCAGTTTGTCAGCCGATCTGTTTCAGTTCACCAGAAAACCAGTCCTATGAGATAAGTGATCTTACTTCCTCCACAAGAACTAAGTCCTGAACTGCGTCTGAGCATAAGTCAGGCATTTGAGTTTTTTATTATTTATGTATTTTTGTGCTTACTGAGGCTTGAATGTCTTCAAAGAAAACGCCTTTGAGGGACAAAGGACTGCAAAACAGTTGAAGCTAAAAATCAAATCACTGAAAATCCATCACGTCTGTCAGAAATATTTTGCTTGAGGGGAGCAGGAAGGTGTTCCTTGGTAACTTCACAACCTTTTATTTTTATAGATAGCATTCCCAGCTGCCTTCCAAGTGGACCATGAGGGTTATATAGGTAGATGAGGTCATAAATGTTTTACAAAACAGCACACAGGAAGAAAAATAAAATTCTAGATTAAAATTTACTGTGTTTATTAAAGCAAATGTTACATATATAGAAAGAAAATAGTCTGATCACTGCTTAAGGGAAAAATCATCTGTCATAAATTGACAGAAAGGGTAGCTTCTGTTATTTATAATCGTGAACAATCATCTGGGGGCTGCCAAGGAAGGAGGAATTGCTGAAGCACAGTGAAGTCTAGTAGCAATACATCTGTTGTCTCTTTTTGACAACAGCGGGATAACTTCTCTCTGCAAGCAAGACATTTGCCAAGAGCAGCGCTTCAGACAGGAAGATTAGGGTATTCTGAAGACTTGAAAGTGTGTTCCAAGCTAGCTAGCCTACAAAATCCACCCATAAGGCTATTTTTTATAATATCCAAAATGACAAAGATTAAGTATGTAGGCAAGGGGGGGGTACATGGGTTGAAAGTGAAAAAAGTGAATTAGCTAAACCCCAGGTCAGCTTCGATAGGATATATACAAGAATACAGACTACTAGCTTTGTCTGTTCAGTGGCACACCTATTTTGTGCTTAGCCTTATTCCTGAAGGCAAGACATTGAATCCAAATTTAAAATGGCACTCCTACTCTATAGCATTGTCTTGATAATCACCTGTAGATTCCCTAATTAAATCATCTAAGTACTGAATAGCAGGAAGAGGAAAAAAGTGGCATAAAGGTGCTAGCTCTGACAAAAAGATTGACAAAAGCTACACAATTTGCACATGAATTCCAGTCACTTCCTTGAAAGTCTGATCTACTCAATAAATTCTCCTCCAAAATAACTGGAGATCTGCAATCTTTATCGGAAGCCATGCCACAATCTAATTGGTGCCTAACCTGAGCACCAAGAATAGTAAGCAGATTCAAAGTAGGATTTCTAGAGATTCTATGAAACTAGATATTGAATTTCTAGAGGTTGCAGTTCTAGCATTACCTTGTTTTCACTATATCTTTTAATCCTGTTAGTGACATTTCAATATATTTTCGTTCCTAGTGGCTAAGATAAAAATTGTATTTCTAATATTTTAATGCCTCCACATCAATCTAATTCATGTTACAGCTGTAAAACCCTGTTGTAATCAATTTTGTAACAATATATATTGAAAGAAAACAATTGAATATTTTTCTAGTTTAAAATACAGTTCTCATTGTTGCCTTCTACAACATTAAGACTGTTGCTAAGAGCAACAACCTGTCATGAAAGTCAGTGTAAGGTTGCAATAAGATTTCTATTAGAAGCATCTTACTGAAAGCAAAATTAAAATGTAATCATTCTAACACTGATCACTCCTTTAGTAAATTATTTCTATTATATTCCACTTGAAATTTATCTTCTATGCATTTGTCTCACCCAAGTGCTTACACGCAACATGTATTAATTGAATTTTTAGATGGTACTTCGGTGCATGCTCAATAACATAAAAAAAGAATTTCATTTTATTGAGCTTAAACATATTATCAAGAGAAGTAACAACTTTCACAGGATAGTCTTAGATTACTCCTCTAACAGTGCTGATTAGTGCAAATACTATAGTCCAGTAATGGATTTAAGCAAGGTTTGGAAATACATTAGGTGATTTGCCAAAACACAAATGGTCCAAGGAGCAGACTTAATTAACTCACTTGATGGGGCATAGCTACCTTGTAATGGTAAGTTAAATCACCTGCAGATAAATTTAGACAGACCTGTACAATTTATTGTCACTGTATAAATTAATTTAGTGACCAGTGAAAAAGCAATGCTTGACATTTGCATTCACAGAAACTTAAGGATGAGCAGAGAGTTTCAGAGAAAATGACACACACCCAGGCTCAGAACACTGAAATGTTTTCTAGGACCAGAGACATATATGGCCATGATACCTCTGGGTTCTGGAGTGCATTTCACACCCCTGCCCATAACAGCCATACCCTCTCAGCTTTCCGTGACCAATCATGTGCAGTTCAGCTTAGGAGCAATATATATATATATATACACACACATATATAATACAGCCTAACATTTAAAAGTACAGCCTCACAGTGAAGGACATGACTGAGTACAGCCCCAGACTCCTCCAGGACCAGGGGAGTAGTTCTTGACAGTCAGACCTGGCAGGGGTGGCCCTTGTCACCTCACCCCCATACAACTGCAGCCATCGACTAATTCAACCCATCCCTCAGTGCTGTGTCATGATCCTCTTGGGTTCCCAGTAAGATTAATCTTCATGAATGATGACTTCAATGTCAAGCTACAAAGCCTAGCCAAAAAAAAGGGAATGCATTCTAGCTGATCTGCTGTTTCTTTTTTCAGCAACCTTCTCCTCCTTGGAGAGCTGATTATTCAGTTAAAGGGGGTTTAATAAAACCTTCCAACTGATTTATTTTTTAATTATGCAGTACTGTTCCCAGAAAAATTATCTTTTTTTCCTCCTAAGGGAAACCCAGGGCACATGAAAACAACCAGGTTTCCCTTACCTCAACTTTATGCATGCACTGAAATTGAGGAAGCATATTTTAAGTCCTGAGAATACCTTTTCACATCATGCTTGCAAGCTGCTTCTCCATGGCAGTAGAGCTTTCATACCTTTTCTAAATTTAATTGTTGAATTGCTCCTTCCTAAATTGATAGTTACTGAGGTTGTTTCCAAAAGCACACAGACTCCAAGTTAATCAAGAGCTAAGATTCTCTGGTAGAATCAGTCATCCCTTTGAAAGGGATTAGGACAATTCAGAATATAAGACTTTCCTCCTAATGGTGAATGAGTCTTAATATTTTTTTTTATAGCCTATTTCTCAATGTACCAACTTACCAAGGGAAAAAACAATACAACTTGAAAAAGGCAATGAAACTTACTTATGATAAACACTAAGTTTTTAATTACCCA